GTTTAATGAAAAGAAGGATTAGGGGAGACATGATAGCAGTGTTCCAATATTTGAGGGACTGCCACAAAGATTCTCTAAATTACCTTGGAGGCAGAACAAGAAGCAATGGTTAGAAATTAATCAAGAACCAAGGAGAAACTTCCTAAAAGAGCAATTAATTAGGCGGGGAACGACTTTCCTCCAGAAGTTGTGGGTGCTCCATAACCAAAGGCTTTTGAGAAGAGATTGGAGAAGCATTTGTCTGAAATGGTGTAGGGTTTTTTGCCAGAGCAGGGGGTTGGACTAGAAGACCTCCAAGATCCCTTCCGATTCTGTTAAGATCAAGAATCAAAAAACAAAGCACTGGAACTGAATAGGGTTGCAATTTTTACATGATTGTCTTCACAGCTGAAGGTCAACATACCTGTGCGAATGGTTCACAGTTGAAGCTTTTGGCCATTAGTATGCAAAGTGGGCTGGATAAAAAATGCCATTCTTTGCCTGTGATCATGGCTTATAAAGTGCTTCACAGCCAGTTCCTACTAGTGGTATTCAGGGCTGGTTATGATTCTGACACCCAAAGAGATTTTCTCTCCAAGTGATGACCTTGCAATCTGTCACTCCTCTCTCTGCACCTCCACTTGGAGATGGGCGTATTATTAAAGGGTCAAAAGCTACCAGTCAAGATCAGAGAACAAGAGTTGAAAATTCTGCCAACATTGTAAAGACTGGATACATTATTTTTCCTCTGATCTAAGCTCTAGATCAGAACAGGAGCAAATGCAAACTCTGTATTTATCTTCCTCTGATTTCTGTCTTTCTTCCAATAAAAAGGGATTATGAAGCTGTTTTGTGGCAGAAGGCAAATTGCCGACGTACCTCTTTATTTTTATGAAGTGTTTTTATATTGCTTGTCATAACTCATCACCATCATCATAAAACGGGCAATTTTAATTCCACCAGCTAATAAAAGAGAGCTCTTGGTGAAATTAACTGCTGGGAAAAGGATGGATGGTTGGATTTTTGTGTGTTTTTTTTTCATACTTAAATTTCTTCATGTTCCGCTTGATTTCCATTTAGCTTTTTAGTAGTAAAATTTCTGATAAGAAGCAGGTACATCTTGATTTAGGCCAGGGGTGAGCGGAAATTTTGTGTAGTTCGGCGAACTGGTAAATACCACCTCTGGCTAGTCACAGAGTGGGGAGGGAATGGAGATTTTGCAGTATCTTTTCCCTACCACATCCACCAACCCATCCCCACAGAACTGGTAGTAAAAAAAAAATGAATTTCACCACTGACTTAGGCTCATGGTGCCAACCCTTCAAGATAAGCCAGAGTAGTAAATTTATGAATGCTAATATTATAAGGTTAAAGTAATACAATCCTGCAAGTCTGAATACATTTACACTCTCCACTCCCCTCAGGAGAACCAGGCAGGGTTTTGTCAGAGAATCTCTTTCTCAAATTACAGTGGGGTACCCCAAGGCTCTGTTTTAGGCCCAGTACTCTTCAACATCTTCAGCAATGATTGGGATGAAGGGATAGATGGGGAACTCATCAAATTTGCAGATGACACCAAGCTGGCAGGAATAGCCAACACTCCTGAGGGGAG